CAAGTAAGTCAATCATTATTGATGCAGTTGAATTCTATTGACGTATGTCTGCGTTATAAAGAAAATCTTATAGGAAGATATATAATACCAGTTATGTTTGCTTAGGTTGGAGATTATAATGCATTTTACCTAGAGTATTATTTTTTCATTTCTGACAGATATGACAAGTTATCCATCGTATATGGATCATCATGCAAATTTTGGTAAGTTGCAAAGAAAATGCATAAAACTGATATAATTACATACTGATGTTGTTAATAAAATGTATCGGCGCAATGATTTTAGATCACCCCACTACTGTGGCAAATTGGGGTACTGTTATGAGTACCACAACTCCCAAGAACAACAATCATTCAACAACATACTTTAGTTGGACTGTTTCTTTCGGATTATGTTTCGCTTCTTTCTTTCTTGTTATAACCGTCGTTTCATGGTATATTCGACAGCGGCGACTACAAGCTTTACAACAAAGTTCTATATCTTCGCGTCGTTTTTCTCGTGATCCGGTGTCTATGTCACGTCCTCCATCGACTGTAAATGAAGTAACAGGTAATTACGATCTATACAATATTTATCACTAAAACGTAAAGTATACCATTAATTTATTCAGCTATACTATTGATAATGGTAACAGGTTAAAATAAATGGATGTAATAACTTATTTTATAATCTTTGTTGTATAGTTCCGCCGTCATATGAGGATTGCGTTCAAGCTAGAGGTGGCGCTTCAAAAGATCAGATAACTGGTGATGAGGCCTTGCCTGATTATACAAACGTTTCAAATAATAATGAATCTACGGAACCTCCTTCGCCTACTACGACAAATGGAGGCAATAGTAATGAACTTGTATGATAATTTGCTACAAAAAATGAGGATAATGAAATACTTCTGCTAGGAATCTACTTTTTTAAATTATGTATTAATATTATTAGAATAATTGGATTGTGAACTATACAAACTTCATTCGAGTAGCTATGAACTTGATGAGACATACTAATAAGGGTATACTGTTCAACTTATACTGCTTGCATTATGTCTATTGTATTATGACGAAAACTGCCGACATTCTTGTCCGAGATAATTTATACAATTTAAAACATTCGAGTTTAAAATGATTATTATTGTAGTGCGTGATGCCGTTGCTCGGTTTACTGTAATGTATAAAATCACTATCACTCATCGTTATTTAAAATTTTAAGAATCTACTATTAACCGTATTTTAATATAGCCAAATCTGAAATATTAACTGGTACAGCGAATTTCTTTACTAGCTGCATATGGTTATTGTAATGTATAATGGTCGATCAAACTCTTTTATTTCTTAATTCATCTAGATGACAAAATACTTAGAATGCGTCCCTTATGATATTTATTCTAGTCCAGCTTATTATCATAGTTTTACTTCTTACGGCGACTAGTCTTCTGTCATTATGAATGAAATTCGAAATTTCATTTACTTTTATCTTTATGAAGCGATTCAACTTCTAATTTATACAATTATAGATATTATGGTTATCAATTAATGATAGTAAATACGAATAAATTGACTACTATGAGACTTATTGTAAATGAATGTACATGTTATTGAGATTACTCGTATAGAGCATAACGAAATTAGAGATAGTTAATGATAACTCATGAAACTGACTAGCCTAGTCACGATGGATTAGATGCTGATTAAGTAATTATTAGCAGAATATAAAATGTTGTAACTATATTATCAGATACTACCATTACGTAATTTACACGTGACTTTCAATCACGTTGGTTACTTTTATGGTTAATTCTATATTGGTCTTTGGCTTCATCAGAAATTACGGTAGTTTGCGTCCCCATGAGTGGAGATTTACGGGATTTATTTACAATAGCATAAGGCAGGTTAGCGCTTAGACCAACTGTATGATAACTATTTGACAAGTTGTTCTGTATAAGAACGTATAAAATAAATGTAAATTAAATTAATTTGTGTCACATTTAGCTTTTTTATGTTGTAGTATTAGTCATCTACAATTGCTATGTTAACAGGCATATTTACATTGCTAAACTCAAACCGACGCCCTAAAGTATTAAGCGTAATCACTGTTGATTGATTTATAAGGAATACTCCGCTAGTTTATTACTGCAATCAGTATGATAGCGAATCTCCTATCTATAATTTTGTAC